TTGAGTCTGAAAGTATTTTTGAAAGAAAAATAAAAAATCGAAAGTAAAAACGTAATTTAAAAAAATTGCGCTACGTCATATGCTCGGTCAGTAGCCACGATCAACTAGGATGCGCCAGATGACAGAGGTGTTGACGCGGGAGGTCACGCAGAGAGAACTACGTGCGCGATCCGCGTGCGCGTGATCAAACGGCTGAGATCCATTTCTACGCGTACGGATAATTCAGATTCAAAATGCGTACGGATGATTCAGATTAAAAGCGATGGACGGTCTAGATCAAAAGCAGATGAATATAAATAACATCACCCGCACTCAAATTTTAACTCTAGCCGCCATAGAGGATAATATATATATATATATAAATGTATGTATTACTTTTTATAAACAATTTAAAAGGTTATAATGCATTATCCCAATTAAGATAGCTTAATTATTACCAAAATCTTATCAACATACAAAATTAGTTCAGTTTTTTTTTTTAAATGTAAATGTTAATAAAAATATATTCTATCCCACTGGTTAAAATTTTTTAAAAAATATTTTTTTAATAAAACACCCAATTTAAAATGTAATATTATTATTATTATTATTATTTAAACATGATGGTATAAAATTAACCCTTACATATAATTTTTTGAAAATATTTAACTAAAAATAATTTATATAATTATTTTAATAATATAATTATATAATTGCTGCTGGGTTCCACGTCGGACTCATCGAACAAGACAAATGTGTAGACATGAGGTCTAACTCGACGAGATCCGTGTCCAAGATGTAGTTGCTCCAAACGATATTAACCGCACACGTGTTCCTGCCTTCTTTCGCACGTGGTGAGCGTAAATTTCTTATTAACCAATTACGAGCTGACACGTCTCTTCTTTGCACGTGGTGAGTGTAAATTTCTTATTAACCAATTAGGAGCTGACACGTCTCCTCTTTTCTTTTTTTTCCGAAACTGGTTGTCTGCTTGCACTCTATCTATCCTGTTTGTTTATGCCAAACGGTATTGAAATGATAAATTTGAAATGAATTTTAAAAATTAATAATTTTTTTTTCGTTATATTTTTATAAAATTTGTTTAACTTTCTTTATATTTTTTAAATAATAATAATAATTTATTTTATTAAATATAAAATTTTAATTTAATTATGTATAATAATTATTTATTTAATTATATTTTTATATAATTTTTTTAATTACGTATTTTTTATACATTATTTATTATTATATCTAATAAGATATGTACAAATTAATAATCTGATTGAAAATACAAATGTATCATTTTATCGTCCAAACAAAATAGTTATCATTAACATATATTAATACGTATTTATTTAAATATAAAAAAATTATGTCATTATCATCTTATATCATTGTCATATAATTACTGTTATTAAAATATATTAATTATTCATCTAAGGTGAGGACCAGCAATGGCAAATTTGTAATTTTAACTGCAAAATGAGGGCAGATTAGAGAATATAAAGAGGATTAAATAAATAGATAATCAAAACAGTGAATGCGTAAAAAAATATGATTAGTGATAAATTAATAAATTAAATGTAATTAAAAGTAATAATAAATTTATTGAAAGGGTTTTTTTTGTCTTTGTCTTGTCGTAGGAGTGCAAGTAAAATGCATTGCTTGAAGCAAATGACGTTTGGACTGATAGTTACGTTACGTACACATAATGTGAATAATATTAATTTTCTTAAAATTAATTTATCGGCTTTTTTTTTTTTTTAATGAAACAATGACGTGTGTGTGTGTGTATGTATGTATATATATATTATTTACAAAATATAAATATTTAATTAAGAAAAAAAGATAATATAATTTATTATTATTAAAAAAATATAAAACAGTATCACACTCGTGAGAACTATATGCCAAATAATGAACATGAATTCCAATATTTTATAAGGCAATCATTTGCATACATGAATCACCCATTTCAATAATTTCATTCATATATTATATTTAAATATACTTAGTGATAGACTATAATAAAAAAATATTTATTTTAAATTAAAATTTATATAATTATTAATCGATAAAATATTTTATTTAAAATTTTTATTTTAATATATAGTCGGAGTAAAATAAGATGTTAGACTAAAATTATTTTAATTAAAAAAAATTAATTACAAAAAAAATATTTATTTTATTTAAAAATATAATAAGTTAATTGATACTGAATCAAATTTAATTATCGTAACTTTACTAATATACTAATGAATTAAATTATATATTGCATCATAGTATTTTTGCTCTGGTAGATCTCTCTCGTGTAATAATAGTCTGAAAATTTAGATTACTAATTCGTAGAATACTCAGCGACTCGAAATTTTTTTAAATGATATTTAAGAAAAGAGTATTATAGAAAAATTCATACGATTAGAGGAACTTTTCATGTTGGATGAAATGATAAAGGAAGATCGGGAAACCCATTTACATATTTTTATTTAATGATAGATATTACATATATTTTTTTTAAATTAAAAATAATTAAAAAATTTATATTTATATAGAATAAAAAATATTATAAAATAATAATTATTATCTTATAATATACTTATAAAATAATAAATTTTACGTTTTTAATAAAATTTAAACTCGTAATTATTGAGTCACTTAGAATTGTATATCATTGATACCAATGACGAAGAATTTTCCACATATTATTTTGAACGTTAATTTGGTGTGTAATTAGGTAGTAAGCAATAGGCCTCGAACGGGCCACGTTCTGAAATCTGAACGGACGCTACGCGCTTCCTTGCAGCCTTGAAGTGCGCGTGAAGGATTAGCACGTTTGATGAGTTCTGTTCTGACAGTGACGAACCAATGGAAGAGCACAGGCACACGTCAGCTCTGTAAATTCACCCACGTTCTATGATATTACCGAATCGTACAACCTACTTTACACGTGGCAGTAAAAAAGCGTAGGTTCATCGCGAGATCCGTGAACTCGGATGTGAAGCAAGAGTTTTTATGTCGTGTGATTTTGAGTTTCGATTGGGCCGGGGCCGCGGACCTGACGTGGTGATCTGATCGGCCACTACAGTTAAAATTGATGGTTCGTTAGGTAAATAGTGGAAAATGGAGGAACGTTGAGAGACCAAGAGATTGAGACTGAGAAGAAAGAGATTTTGTCTGAAGAAAAAAAAAAAAAATGGTGTCAAATTCGTGTTACTGTATTCGATTTGCGAGTATAAATATCTCCCATCGCTTCAGTTTATTCACACGTAAATCATTATCTTCGAGCTCTGTTCACAGATCAAAAGTAACCAATAAGCTAATCACTTCTGGTATTTACTTCTTCTCCTTCCTTATTGTTTTTTTTTTTTTTTTTTTATCGTTTTCCCTTTCTGGTTTCTGTTTGTTTCCCGAGAAAATGGGAGGGGATATTTTATTGGTTAATACTGATACGGTTTGATTTGTTGGTTCATGCCCTGGAATTTCCAGATATTCTTCGAACCGAGCATTGTCATTGCTGGCATTTGAGGTCAGTTAATTGGAAATAATTCCTGTTTAAATAAGTTTTGTCCTATTGAAATGCGTCCGTGAAACTGAGCTAAGTCGTGCTTGGTATCGTGTTATTGTGTTAGCAGAGAAGTGAGCCCAGTAAACCAGAAAGGAAGCTAAACAGAGAAGATACATTAGAAGAGGAAGCGATGACGATTAAGCCGGCGATTCGTATCGCTGAGAGGAAGCTGATAGTGAAGGATCGCACTATCCTCAGTGGAGTATCGGACAATGTGATCGAAACGTCCGGTTCGGACTCAGGTCCGGTGGAGGGGTTGTTCCTCGGGGCGGTGTTCGAGGAGGAGAAGAGCAGACACGTCGTCTCCATTGGTTCACTTCGCGATGTCCGGTTCATGGCCTGCTTTAGGTTCAAGTTATGGTGGATGGCTCAGAAGATGGGCGATTATGGCAGAGACATTCCTCTCGAGACTCAATTCCTATTGGTCGAGACCAAGGATGGGGGATCTCACCTTGACGGCAACCCTATTGTATACACCGTTTTCCTCCCCTTGATCGAAGGACCCTTCCGCGCCTGCTTGCAGGGGAACGTCAACGACGAGCTGGAGCTTTGCCTAGAGAGCGGCGACGCAGACATCAAAGCGTCGTCGTTTACGCACTCCTTGTTTATCCACGCGGGAACGGATCCTTTTTGCGCCATCACGGATGCAATCAGGGCAGTTAAACTCCATCTCAAGACGTTCCGCCAACGTCACGAGAAGAAGCTGCCCGGGATAGTTGACTATTTTGGGTGGTGCACGTGGGATGCTTTTTACCAGGAAGTTACCCAAGAAGGGGTGGAGGCCGGGCTCGAATCCCTCGCCGCCGGTGGGACTCCTCCAAAGTTTGTAATCATTGATGATGGGTGGCAATCCGTTGGAGGGGATCCATCGGAGGGACCAGATTCCTCTGATCAGGCAGCGAACAAGCCCCAGCCGTTGCTTAGGCTGACTGGGATCAGAGAAAACGCCAAGTTCCAAGACACGGAGGATCCAACTGTGGGAATAAAAAGCATAGTTAACATTGCAAAGAACAAACATGGGCTCAAGTACGTGTACGTGTGGCACGCGATCACAGGGTACTGGGGTGGTGTCCGGCCGGGCGCGAAGGAGATGGAGCAATACGAGTCGTCGATGAAATACCCGATGGTGTCGAAAGGTGTGGTGGAGAACGAGCCGACATGGAAGACGGATGTGATGGCGGTGCAGGGGCTGGGGCTGGTGAATCCAAAGAACGTGCACAGATTTTACAACGAGCTTCACAGTTATCTGGCGTCTGCGGGTATAGATGGGGTTAAGGTAGATGTGCAATGCATATTAGAGACTCTTGGTGCTGGATTGGGCGGCAGGGTTGAGTTGACCAGGCAGTACCATCAGGCTCTTGATGCTTCCATTGCTAGGAATTTCCCAGATAATGGCTGCATTGCATGTATGAGCCACAACACTGATGCACTATACTGGTAAGTTAGATTCATTCTGATTTCTTTTTGAGAATTTTCTGTATAATTGTGCTTGGTTCTGATGCGGCGTGGTCTACGAAACTGTGTCGTGCAGCTCGAAACAGACGGCTGTCGTGAGAGCATCGGACGATTTCTTCCCGCGCGACCCAGTTTCGCACACAATCCACATAGCGGCGGTGGCTTACAACAGCGTGTTCTTGGGTGAGTTTATGCAGCCTGATTGGGATATGTTCCATTCGCTCCATCCTGCTGGGGAGTACCATGCATCAGCCAGGGCAATCAGCGGAGGACCCATATACGTTAGGTAACAAATCATTTGAACTCTTTAAATCTATATTGATGGAAACTGTATTTTTATTGTTCGTCTCTCGACTTTGAGCAGTGATGCACCTGGGAACCATAACTTTGATCTGCTGAAGAAGATAGTTCTGCCTGATGGGTCGATTCTTCGAGCCCGATTACCGGGTAGGCCAACCCAAGATTGCTTGTTTACGGACCCCGCCCGTGATGGTGCTAGGTAAAGCCATAGCCGCCCCGGTGAACTTTGGATTTTTATATATTTGTTTTCTAGCAATTAATATTTAAGATTTATTGCTAATTTGTGTTCGTTGTTTTTCAGCTTGTTGAAGATTTGGAACATGAACAAGTACACTGGAGTTTTGGGCGCTTACAACTGCCAAGGTGCAGCATGGAACAGCAGTGAGAGGAAGAACACATTCCATAAAACTAAAACTGACTCCATAACCGGCCACACCAAGGGCCGTGACGTCCACCTCATTGCCGAAGCCACCTCCGAGGACCCCGACTGGAGCGGTGACTGCGCCGTCTACTCCCACCGCGGCAGTGAGCTCATCACTCTCGCTCAGAATACCGCACTGCCCATTTCCCTCAAGGTTCTGGAGTACGAAATATACACTGTAACGCCCATCAAGGTCTTAGCACCAGGCTTCAGCTTCGCTCCCTTGGGACTCATCAACATGTTCAATGCCGGGGGTGCTATTGAGGGCCTGAAGTATGAAGTAAAAGACCAAAACAGTGGTGTTGTGGGTGAAGAGAGAACCGCGAATTGCAGTGATGAATTGGTGGGAAAGGTAACAATGCACGTTAAGGGGTGCGGCAAGTTTGGTGCATACTCATCCACGAAACCGAGGAGATGCGTCGTGGGATCTGGACCCGGTGAGGTTGGATTTGAGTATGATTCCTCTTCTGGTCTGCTAACTTTCAGCTTGGTTAAATTGCCCGAGGAGGAGAATAAAGTCCACGTTGTGGAGCTTGAGTTATGAGTCACAAAAAGGAATTTTCATGTCAGTGGTTGGGAGCAGGGAGGGAACCACGGACTCTGATGGTGTAAATCTACATTTATTCTTCTTTAATATGTATGTATAAGTTAATGCATGTAAACATTAGATGAAGAGAATACAGACTGCTCGAACTTTCTTCCTCAGTTGCAGATTCGATCACTGAAGGGTGTAATCTTTCTTATTTAGCCAAAAAAAGTTACTCTCAATTTGCCACAAGACGAGAGAACCAACTTCCTAACAAGTAGAATTCAAAATTCCAATTTGACTAACATAAAACAAAATCTTCAATATATCATGGAGTAATGGGGATAAACCAAAATATACATTACAGAAAATTCTACCGTGCTTCCGGGGCACCACGTGTAGTAATTTTTGTAGCGAATAACTAATATTGTATAATTATTTGCTTACACGTAATGTTTAATGATTATCGTTCAAAGTTAATAAATTATCACGAGAACACTCAAGAAAATGCTACCACCAGAACGAAGCAAAACTTCCTTCCAAGGAGGATTAGCATCAACAACGTGAGAGTCTTGTTTGTGCTTATAGTTAAGATTCAAGCAGTAGCTGTTCCAGTTCATCGAAGTCATCATGGTCTTGCTCTTCCATCTGTTCTTGTTCTGGGTCCGTAAGCTCCTGTGTCAGTCCCGTTTGTCGATAAAACGCTTCTTTCTGGACATTCCAGTTCTCAGCTATTTTCTCCACTTCGTGACTCATCAATTGCTTGTCTATTGATATGTGTTTTATATTCTGAACATCCACTACCTTGCTAGCCCCTTTAGTGGAATCACATAGAGAGAGCACA